CTTCTGCTAAATTGGCCAGCTATTACCTAATCCTCTTTTACAATGAAAAACTGTCACTGCACTATCCAGTCCTTGTGTCTTTGAACCAGCAGAGAGTAGCAGTGCTGATTTAAAAAAACTGTGAGGTTTTGCTCAGATTCCTTTTTATTCCACTACTCTTCTCTCGCCCCAGAATGGAGGTTTATCGTGCTCCCAGAGGTGTACCCTGCTCCTAAAGGAGTGTCCTGTGCCAGCGGTCACTGGCTGTGGGGCAGTGATAGAGCTGCCCCACTGAGGAGGAAGTGGTGGCACCACTCTGCCAGGTGACAGTGGGTCCTTCTGGGGCTGTGCAGTGTCAGCAGCGTTTTTGACGCAGCAGGTGTCCTCTAGCTGTGGTTTCACAGGCACAGACAGGCAGTTGTGCTCCATCTACGAGTGTACAAACTTGTCCCTCAACAGAGCACTGTGCTGACCACCCAAGACTTCGGTCCCAAGGTGTTTCAGAGAAACTTGAGGAACTTGGGAGAGAAAAGCTGAGCTGTGGGTAGCAAAGAAGGTGTTGCTTTCTCTGGAGAAAAGATTTAAACTCTTCCTGATATTTTTGCTGAACTAAAACTGTTCAAGCCATGTCAGGGAAAGAGACAATGGGAGGATGACACAGCTCTCAAATTGGCAGCTGTTACTGGCCGGTAGCACTTGCAAGGGGTTACTGAGGGCAGTGAGGGGAGCAGAAGTGGTGCCAGTGTCTTGATCTCTGCATGTATTACACGGGGTCTAAACCACCTGAGAACTGGCTTTTATTTTCACATTTCATTTGCCCTTCACAGCAGCAGAGCAAAGGAGGAATGGGCCCAAGGCCTTCTGGCAGCTGTGTTTGTGGGAGTGCAGTTAGGTGTCTGCTCCTCATCCTACCTGTGGGAATAGGGCTGGGGAGGAACTTGTGGGATATTTGCTGTCTGGCTCATCCATCGAGGAATATTTATTTGTTCATTAATTTATTTTATGAAGATTGTACAGACTACACAGTGGAGTTCCTCACTGATCAGTCTTTGTTCAGAGTTTACAAACCATGACTTGATGGAAGTAAAACAGCATAGCCTGCCTTCTGCTCTTGGGGCTTGTGGTGTATGACAGGGTACTAGGGGAGAGATTGTAACAACAAACCACAGTACTGTGCCTTTGTAGAGACAGTTATTCCACTTCTTGGTTGCTTTGTTGTTTGGGTTTTTTCTTTATTTAAGTTTTTAAAGCGTATAAACAGGACTTTGATGTTCTCATTGCACTGGAATAGAGAAGCGATTGCATGAAGGGGACTATCCACACAAAATTAGAAAACAGGATGCTGGCATAGCTTTCTGTGTACATTAAATTTCTGTTAAATAAAAAAGAAGTAAGGAAGCATACAAGGGGTGGAAGCAGTTACCCAGGACTTTAGGGACAGTGAGCGCTCAAGGATGTACTGAGAAAAGTCAAAGCCCTTGGGGAGCTGGACGTGGTAAAGGGTGGCAAGAAAGGCTCCTGCAGGTATATTGGCAGCACAAGGAAGGCAAAGGAAAACGTGGGGCCACTGCTTCTGAGGGTATGAAGAATACAGAGCCAGGCTCTTCTCAGAAGCACCTAGGCAAAGAAACGAGTGACAAAGGGTACAAACTCAAATACAGAAAATTCCACTTAGGTGTAAAAAAAATGTTTTTAAATGTAAGGGTGAATGAACACTGGAACAGATTGCCAAGAAAGATTGTGGAGTCTCTGTCCTTGGAGATGTTCCAAACTGGACTAGGCACAGCCCTGAGCAACCTGTTATTGCTGACCCTACTTTGAGCAGGGGTTTAAACTGAGCGATCTCCAGAGGTACCTTCCAACCTCAACTATTTTGTAATTCTGTGAAATTCTATAAATTGCAATTTAAACAAATAGCTGTGGTAGCACTTTGGATTAACACTTAAATTATTTTCTCTGTAAATCAATTGAATATTTGTTATCAAAACTCTGTCAACTTAATTTAACCCAGACCTAAGTGTTCCATAAAAGCTTTTATTGAATCAGAGGCCAACAGAAATGTGTGCAGCTTTTGATTCCAATGAAATCAACCTGTGGGGGTTTTTTAACAAATAAATAGTCTTTTCTGAAAGTGAAACTGGCTGGAAGCAAAAGTGAAACTTGCTTTATTGCTTTTCTTCGTTCAAACTGGGAGAAACAGGAATAGTAAATGGAGGTCATAGGTAGTGCTATGTGCAAGTAAACAGAATTTAAAATATTAATTTTTTTACCATAGCGATGCCACTTCTAGTAATACAGTGAAGAAGTTGTTACCCTTATTACATTGATAGAGCCCTTTTGATCTTTTCTTTGAGCTTTATGTAGCTCTTCCTCTTTTCATCACAAGGCTCCTGCCCAACTCCAGTACTTTATGGTCGTAAATACCTGTAAGATGCAAGTTGCTATAATTTGTGACTGTAAGAGGTAGACTAGCATAAATTATGCAAAAAAAGAGAGTAATTTACTCTGGAATGGGTGCAGCCATGTGCTGTCATTGGCTCCAAGAGGAGGGATGCTCATTTGTGCCTGTGTGTGCCGAGAAAGGTGAAGGCTGAGTTAAAGCAGATCAGGCCTGCTTTGTTTTACACAGTCCTCTTAGCTGTTTTGCTGAAAATTCTTCCTGATCCTGAAGTCCATTTCTGTTGTTGGGATGGTAACTTGCACACATTTCTTTTGCCACTTATACCCACGAACAGCCACATGTTACTTGCCATCCTGCATCCTGGCTGCAGCTGCAGCTGCTGACTGTGAGCTACACATGGTTGACTGTAATTCCTAGGAAATGGTGTACCTTGATTTGGTTGGGCTTATTTTAAGTAGCACATTATGCAGTGTGGGTTAAATTAATGTATATTAATAGACTAGTGGTACTGCATGGGACTTAAGAGAAAATACAGAGAGATTATATGTGGGTAGCTGACAGCATTTTTTTAATCACTTCTAAACTGAAATAGAAGAGGTCTGTGACCCTCTACATTCCTTAAGCAGTGTACAGGAGTTTGTGTCTGTGTAATTCCTTCCGTTGCAAGCTTTCTCCATACTTGTTATATATGACATATAGATATTCCTTCATATACCTGCTACATGGACTCCCTCCTCCTTCCCTTGGCAGTAATGCTGATACTTGGCAGGAACAAGGATCTTTTCTTGCCCCTTTTATTATGAGTGAACTTTCAGTACATAAACAGATTCTTCTTTAACTAATTTAATATGCACAGTTTTATCTTATTTGTTTTGTCTTTCTTCCAGCTCCATCTTGAAATGACTCACTGTAAAAGGTTTATTGGAATTTTTGAGGTTCCTAATGCAAACTCTGGTCCAGCAAGATTGCTGTAGTCCAATAATACTAAGTCTACTTTTCTTAATTCTTAAATGTCTCCCTGCCTCTTTTCCTTGTGGAACAGGTGAGAAAAGCAATTGCCTCCACTACATGATGCGTCCCAGCTCAAGAACTCACTCCTTCCATGTAATTTTGAATCCCAGCCCAGCTGGTGGTTCCTAGAGTTTAGGCTCTGAATATGAGTTCAGCACTTTCAAATGAATCACTCAGAACAGTACTCCTGTCAAAGAGTTTTCTTTTTTTTTTTTTTTTCCCGAAAGGTTTTCCTGAATTTGCAGTTACAGACCCTGACAATGCAGCAAAAAATACTAAAATTTTCAGGTTTTTTTCTGTTTCTTCAAAGTGCTTGTTTTCATTCTATTGTGTTTTAGTACAACAAAGATGTGTGGGATATGCTACTTTTGCATGTAATTGGCCTTGTTTTTACTTATTTGTGATTTTGTCAAGATTTTAATTGACACTTCAGTGTTTTTGTGAAGACCTGTCTTTTGAGGAGCCCTTTTTACCTTTTTTCATGAGCTGTTAGTGGGGTAAAGATTGTCCTTTTCATATGCTGCCTGTGGACAGTTCTTTTCAAAAAGGAGTTAATGAATAATATCCCAGCTCTCACCAGGAAGTTTGGGTTTTAATAACCTGCCTGCTTATGAAAACATATTATCAACTCTGAAAACAGAAACAGTGAAAATATATAATGAGCTGGGATAGATTTCCAGTTCTGATCATTAGCACACAGCCCTGATCTTCATCTTTAGTTTCTTATTGGTGCTGGTTGGATTGATGAAATAGAGTGTGGATTGATTAAATAGGCTGTAAAGGAAATCACATAGCTTTCTTTTTTAACTTTATCCCAAGGATAGTTGTTCACTGCCATGCTCCTTCCATAGAGGCAGACAGAGGCTGTAAGGTGCTGGTGCCTTTGTTGAACTCTGAAGGGCAGAAACACTTTTCTGGTTAGTCTGGGTGAGGATCATTGCAGCTTAATGCAAATAGTTAAACATGAAACTACCAAGGGGGGCTTCTGAAAAAATCTTGCCTATTTAATGATTACAAATAAAAAGTGTCAAAATATATATCGGAAATATCATAATTTACTTCTAATGTTTCATTCATAGTAGTATTCACATCTTAAAAAGAGAAAAAATACTCATTTCCTCCCTGTGGCATGTCTTCCATACTGGAGGATCCCATTTGATTGTTTCCTGTCCAACAGTCATTCTGCAGCTTTTATTATCCTTGCCACTCTTCTCCAAGCCTTTTCTATTTGTATATCCATTTTAGAAGTGGGATCAGAACCAGATACAAGGGCTCTGTGGATTTATGCACTGATACAATCATGTTCTCTATTTCTTTCACAGTGATTTCTAACATTTAATGTGCTGTTTTCTTCTGACAATTCTCTTATTTGAGCTGAGATTTTCATTATCTGTTATACTCTCTGTATTACTTGATTGGGTATTTTGTTACCTATACTATGCTATCCAGATCTTGGTGCAGTAATGAACTTGGAGACCTTCATTTTATAAGTAAAGTCAGAATTGTTGATTCCAATGTGTGTCCCTTTACATTTACTTACATTAAATTTCATTGATCATTTTGTCAGCCAGCAATTTGTTTCATAAAATCGTTTTGTGTTTCTTCCCAGGAGCCCATGTCTTTGCCACCTTAATCATCTTCCCAGCCTTTGGATGAAGCATCTGAATCCCCAGCATTACTTCTGGAGCCCTTTAAAAAGCAGACTTCCTAAAAGCCACTGCTGGATGATGGTGACTGATGCTGAAAGTGTAAGTTCCAGGCAGCAGAGTGAAAAGAGGGTGTTGCAGTCAGGTTCCTGAATGTGGAAAGCTGACATACTTATGCATTGTGCAGCTTTAGTAATTGATAGAAGTAGCTAAAACAGAGCTCTTGAATGACTGTGCAAGGTGCTGAACAATATTTTTCCCCAGTTGGACCCCTCTCCATATATCCAGTATTATTACCGTAACAGTTTTGTTATATAAATGAATGATTTTTGTAATGATTTATCCACTCTACCATTATTATGTGACCAATCTCCGTTACTAGATCTTATTCAGACCTTTACAATGGTAATATATGCAGCTTTGTAGTCCAGAACACTACCTGCTCTTTAGGCAGTTAGACCAGATCAGATGTGTGTTATTGGCCACTAGAGCATGCCTTCATGTGTTCATCAAACACAAGTCTGGAAATAGCAGTCTGGGCCTGCATCCCCACAAGAATGAGGTTTCAGTGTGGCCATACAGTGCCAAAATTGTTTCCCTGGGATGAGAGTGAACATTAGTAAATTTTATGAGACCAAAAGCATTTTGGTCTTTTTTCCTCTAACTGTTCATAGATAAAGAAAAATGGTAAAGAGTGGGAAGAGACATTGAAGTGACAGTCATTTCACATTCAGATTTTAACTAATGGTTCAGATATTCAGACTTGTGATGCTGTAGTGTGTTCTTCTGCCATTAATATAGGTGCTGCTATGAAATTCTTTACTCTTTTCCTTTTGATCCTGAGTCAGTTGTTTTCCTTCTCATGTCGACTTACCTGGCAAATGAGCCATTTTTATCTTTTGTTTTATGACAGAAGAACTGTAGGACGATAAGCAATGGATGGAAGTGGTGGTTTTAAATGATCACCAGACTAAAATTAAAGCTGCTATTCTCTGTGATCTACAAGATGTTCCAGTGCCTTCAGAGGCATTGTGACATTGGACTATACAGACAGGATCTTCCACAGGAAGCTGTGTCTTAGGGCTAAGGCTTCAGTATGGAAGATTTGAGGAATCTTGCCCTTAGGAGGCAAGAAGTATGTGCCTACATTGTGACTGAGAGAAAATCCTTTCTGTTGGTTTGGCAATTCAACAGTGAGTTCACACTGGGGAGGACAAAACAGATCCTAAGTGTTTACTATTCCCAGTTTATTCTTTTTAATAGAAAGTGAAAGATCAAAACAGCCCATCTGCCAATGAAATGAGATGAAAGTAGTAATTTGTCTGACAGACTTCTAAATCCATTCTTCCAAACATTTTATTTTGTCATTGATTTAGCCCTGACAAACTTTTATTTCCCGTGCAGCTTTTCCAAGGGCTAGACTTTATTTCCTCAGTCAGCCTCTTTTTCTTAAAAGAGATACTGGAAGCATAAATGCATCTGAAACATTATTTGTAGCAAACTGGGAAAGATCCAAATGTCCAGCTGCCAGGAGAAGTTTGCTGAAAGGGTAGTTAGCCACAGTGCCACACGTATAATTCTGGGGGGAGGTAAGTGGGAAAGGTTTGGAGCATAGTGACTTGCCAGAGGAAGACACAAGGGTGGTCTGGGCAGCGTAGCAGAGCATCCTTCACAGGAATTGCAACTTAAGTCACGTTTCTGTTCATATTTGGTGTTCAAAATTGCATAATGCTATCAAACAGAATTGTGTCCTCTGTATCATCTGCTTCCCTATTAAGGAGGAAAAATCCTGTCAGAGGGAGAACCTCTATCCTGTCCCGTGTTATAGGGAACAACTTTTTCAAGTTCCCAAAAAACTCTGCTTAAGCAGTTGCTTGGTTTATGGTTTCAGTATATATATGGAGGCCCAAATGCTCTTACACAGAATCTATACAGATGCATATCCTGAAATTCTCATGGGTCTCTGAGGCCTGGACAAAACCTGCCATAGAGCAGAAGAATTCTTAAAGTTCTTTTTTTGGTTGTTGTTTGTTTGTTTGTTTGTGTTTTTGTTTGTTTGTTTAGGATTTGGTGGGGTTTTTCCCTTTTTTGTTTCCTCTGGAAGAATACCAGTTATCACTGCAATGATAACTTCGTACTTTTACAGCATATGATGCAACACTGTAAACTTGGCTTGCAGAGCAGTTGATTTGTTCCTTTAAATTTTGTTTATTGCTGGCATATGGATATGAAAGGGCATAATTTTGGTAGCTAGATCTAATCAGCACTTTGTATATAAAGTGCATCAAAAACACACATCAATAGCAGTCGATCTTAGTGTGTCTGCATTCCAGATCGTTGTGTAGTGTAAGTTAACTGTTCCTTTCATTTCTCCTGGAGCCCAGCTGGTCTCGCTTAATTTCACACTATTTTATATTCTGTTTATTACTGAGGCCAACAAGTATTTTATTTTAGCTGTTTGTACATATTAAACAAACATGGGATCTGGGTGGAATGTCTCTGGCAGAAACATGCTAATTCCTTATACCCTCGGAGTCCATTCCACACTTGAAGGAGTGGACTCAGCCAATTAAATTAGGCACCCAAACAGGAAAACCACAGACACATGATTACACTTTCAGCCAAAGTTAAACGGTGCAGCATGAAAGTCGTATTGTTGTTTGGCTTTTTCGCAGTGAGGCCTGCGTGAACAGAGGCAGCTGGCAATGTCTCTGTCAGAGCCTGCCTGCGGGACACAGGAGAGAGGGAATTCCTGCTTCGTGGGGCTGGCAGGATCATCTCCTCCATGAAAAGATCATCATAGGCATGCAGCAACAGAACATAACGTTTCAGTTTCCAGATAGTGTTTTAGGTGTCCAGGTACTGGAAAAGTCTGAGGATTGTAGGCTTCCTTTTTCCACAGACCTCTGCCCTGGGCACTACTCACAATGTTCATGAATCTCACAGAGCTGCTGACCAGGTTGGACTGTCAGGAGAGGTGGTGAGTGCCCCTCATCATGGCTGCCTGGTGGCCTGGTGGTTAAGAAACATGCACAGAAGATATTAGTTTGGGCATTTGCAGGAACATTTCAAACCCAGTCTTGTCAGATCTAAAAAGAAAGGGCACTGCTATAAAACTCCATTTAAAATAAAAGAGTAAGCCTGCTGTTTTTGTTGAAATACCATGGTGCAGACAATTCTGTGGTGTAACTGCAAGATAGCTAGAGACACCTTTTTCTTGGTCTATTCAGATGCCTGAGCATCTCTCATTCAGGGAGGTAGAGATTTAGATCCAACCTGTGTTAGTGCATCTTGCTGACTAGTTCTGGTGGCTCTTCTGAAGAGCACTGAGCCAAGCTGTTACTGCCAGCATTTCCTAAAGTTCTCATTCTTTGATTAGGAAACTTTGGCATAACACTGGTTTTGTTGTGCACCACTTCAGTGGCTGGATGCCCAAAAGTTCGGTGTACCAGTGCGCAACTCGTAGGACTTCATCTACCTAGCCCTTAGCTGCTAGGATGGTATGTACATTAGGAACCCTTAAGGGTGGTAGAAATCTGAATATAGGCTGCTTGTCCAGTGCTTTAGGGAGTGGCAGTGGATGATCATTGTGACTGTGGTCTGTCATGATGAAACACAGCTGTACTACTTTATTTATTGTTAATAGAGACTGAGCTGTATATTGTGTTCTTACGCTGCCATTGCCAGACTATAGCTGGAGAGTGCCTGGGACTATGAACTAGTGCTCAGTAAAGCTGTCTGGTTTCACAGTGTCCTTTGTGGAGTATATTAGACTGTGAGCTGTGCTGACCTCTTTTTTTGATTCTGAGGAAAGCTTGACTGGTGTTTTTAACTCTGAAACTGTAAAGAGTTTGGTCCTTGGCTACCTTAAAGACACATCTTCACTACGTGGGGTGCCACAGTGATTAAGATTGGCTGCAGTAACCAAGCTAGCAGTACCCTCGTTTAACTGGGAAAGAGCTTGTTACTGTCCTCTTTTAAAATTCTTCAGATCTGAAAATTGTTTTCCAGTTCTTTGTTCCAGAATAGGCCAGGCTTCTTGATTTAGCCCATGCATCTAATAGTAGCTATTTTATTTTCTAAAGAACTGAGCCAAGTTGCATGCAAGCATTTTTTTTTTGCTTGACAGATGTACTTTCTGATGGTTTGATGGTATAGTAGATATTAATTACAAGTTTAGTATTGTTCCCTCAATAAAAACTGCTTGAGCATGGTATTTATAGAGTAAGGTAACTCAAGAGTGATCAAAGGTGTGCAACTCCTGGTTTCTCTGTGAACTGAAATTTTGTTAGTCTTTTCTCATGCTGGTGGGTGGAAAAGGCCAAGGGATGGTTGTTTGCCTAATGAGGGCAGGATACAGCTGGGAGGAAGCTTGAAACTCCCTAGCAGGGTCTGCAAACAATCTAGTCACATCAAATAGATGCCCACTGTTTGCCAAAAATCAGTGAAACAGGGAGATAATGAGGGAGATAATGAGGGTAATGAAATAAAGAAAAAGAGAGCACTGTTGTTCTTTAATGCAGTGACCTTTTTTGAGATGTCATTTACACGGGTGTTTGTGTGAGTGTTGGCCCATGCTGATTTTACAGTACTTAGTTGTGTGATGGCTGCTTACCAAAGCTGCGGAAGCACCCTGTGGCTGGCCTCGCTCTAGGCTCGATAAGCTATTGCAGTAATGCTGTAGTTAATGGTTTTTGGAAAAGTTGATACCTATCTGCATTTGAAGGAACACATTTTGGCCTAAATATTGAGAAATCACAGGTATGCTATGCAAATCCTGGGTGTGCCAGCCAAGCCTGTAGAAGAAAACTCATTAGGATTAATCTCTAGTAGGGTGACTAATGCAAAGGGAATGAGGTACTTTCCTCCCTGAGTCAGCAGAGGTTTGACATAGCTTTCAAAGGGGCTTCACTGGAATGCAATCAGTTGCTTTGTGCAATAGGTATGGTAGTTTATTTAATTTGGAACTGCTTGCTTTAGACCAGAGAATACTGTACTAAATTAAGAGAGACACGTAGCTGCATACTCTACTAATAGATTTAAACCAAAATATCTTACTCAGTTTGAAGAAATGAGGTGCATAATTATCTAATGTACATTAA